CAAAACCATTTAGGCAGTTACTATACACAGAGAGACATAGACATACACACACACCAATTTATATTTAGGTCTCCTTAGCAATGCTTGTGTTACTTCAGTAGATGGGACCATGGCTGTAATTGAGGAGATGTAGGTCTTACCATTTCCTAAATAATGAGTTTGAGCGAGTACCCTAAGGCAATGTAAGAACTGCATGGAGACTTCTCCCGAAAATTCACCATCATGCCAAGAAGAGGGCATATGTCATAAACACGACATAAACACTAATACTTGATGACTATGTAGAAACTTTATTTTAAAATTCCCAGCTCACCCACACTATATTCTGACTTTTGGGGTGCAATTATTATTTTAAACCCTGTTGTAACATAGGTCTTATGGGGATAACTTTCACTAAATAGAAAATAGATAAAAATGATAGGTGTCTGAATACAAAACTAAAATACAACTTCATTATTTGTTACAAAAGTCTAAGTAATATTGAGCCTAATAATTTTTTTCAGAAATAAAAAGTCCTCTCAGTGACGGTGAGTAGACAAGTTCAATTGGTGAATGATCTGAGAATCAATATACTCTCTTCAATATCTTACAACATGTACGTGTCTAATGTCCATGCCTTTTAATGACCATCATATTATAGGCCTTGCTAAGTGTATCCCTATGTAAAAATTCCTAATTATGTTAATATAATTTTTCATTCTTTCTGATGGAGGCATAGAATTCCATTGTGTATGTGTATAATTATCTATCTATCTATCTATACCACATTTTCTCAATCCATTCATCTACTGAGGGGCTCTGGGTTGGTTCCATATCTTAGCTATGGTAAATAATGCTGCAATAAACATAGTTGTGCTGGTAACTTTAGTATGGCCTTGTTTGTGATCATTTGGGTAAATGTCCAAAAGTGGGATTGTTGGGTTATAGAGAAGTTCTATGTGTAGTCTTCTGAGTAACCTCCATACTGCTTTCCAAAGTGGTTGAACAAGTTTACACTCTCACCAAAAATGCAGTAGGGTTCCTTCCAGTATCTGTTGTTATTAGATTTCTTGATTATAACCATTCTAACTGGGGTAAGGTGGAATCTCAATGTTGTTTTAACTGGCATTTCCTTTCATTGAAAGACTTGGAAAAAATTATATTAAGTAAAGTAAGCCAGACCCAAGGAAATAAAGATCCCATAGTTTCCCTTATTTGCAATAACTAGTATACATCCAAGATAATCTTACCAGACAAGCAGAAAAGGTCAAAAGCTATGTACATATGACCATATAAGATGACGCTAAATGAAATGAACCCCAAAATAGGGCTACAAGAGGTATGTTGTTGTTGTTGCTGCAGCTGCTGCTGTTGTTTTTAACATACTATGTGATTTTTTATTGTTTCCCTTGTATTCTTCCCCTATGGTATAACTCCTGTTGTCACTGTGTTTGATTCTGGTGCCCTACATTTATATGTATATACATTTTTCTAATTGGGGAGGGGAAAGGATATAACAAAATACTGAAACAAGGATACAGGTTGACCCATTGTAACATTAAGATGTACAAAACACTATGTTGAAAATGACAACTTTGGGGGTGGGCGGAGGGTGGAGTTGGGGAGGGGAAGGGATAGTAGGGGAAAAACAAAGGAGGGGGTAACAGTGCTGGATAGGAAATGTACTCATTTTCTTACTCATGTAACTGTCACCCCTCTGTACAGTATCTTTACAATTTTAAAAAAGATCATTTTCAGTAAAATAAACTGTTCATGGAAGCATAGGCATATCTAACTATATTACCATTTCCATCCTCTAAAATGTTTATAGATTAACTCATTAATAATTCTTCCATATTCTAATACATTGAATCAGGTCTGATTTGCAAGTTCATTTCCTAGCTGTATCTTGATGACTAAGTAATATGGGTTTTTTATATAAAAAGAAAATGTCAGATTGGGGTCATCATTTTTGTGTGGGTTACTGAATTCATTTACTCACTTAACATTCTGAATACATATTTTGTCCTATTTATACATCCAGAGTACCTTTTATATATAAGAAAAGAAGAATCAAAATCTCTGACTAAAAAGTGTTGTCAAAATATAGAACAAGGCAGAAAAATGAAATATCATAATGTACCTTGACACCAAATGGTATTTTGCAAACACCAAACAAAGCAACCCTTCTAAACTCAACATTTATAGAAGTCCCAAGTGATTAGAGAAATGTGCACTGCCTAATTTTTCATGAACTGCTATAATTTCCTTCCTGGGTTCCCAAGGAACATCATGAACACTGAGATAATAGGATAATTATATTTAAAGATGGATGTATTTAAAATGTACAGTCATTATCAAAGGAAGAACTAAAATAAAAGTGTTACACTGTGACAATGGATTGTTAGCTTAATCTTTAACAATAGTAAAATCTTTATTGCCAATTTACACTAATTTACTAATTTACATTCACTAATTTACAATTGTATTTTTTCATATTCATAGAAAACAGCTATAAGTTGAAGAGTATGTCTGGCATTGAAAGTAAAAATCTGTATCAGCTGGAAAGTCTTTCTTTCCATGTAGATGAAGAAAACAATTGATTTCAAGCAACAATGAAGTCAAAATAAAACTCTTGAAATTCAATACTTGACAATTCTGAGGGGAATGGAATGTACTCTCTCTCTCTCTCTCTCTCTCTCTCTCTCTCACACACACACACACACACTATAACCCATCATTTATTAAAACGTGTTGCATATTGACATGTTTTTCATGTAAATAATAATAATAGTTGTAAAACTAAACTAAAATGGTAAATTCTTCAAATATAATAGCATACATTCTTTGGGAACATAATACATAATTATATCAGATAACCATACATTAGTTTAACTGCTCATCTTGCCTTTTAAATTACAATACACACATTTAAGATTTATACTATTAAATTAAAATGTAAATAGTATATTATAGTCTGCTTTTTTGTTCTGTTTTGTTTAGGTTGTGGATCTTGAACTCAGGGCTTGGGAACTGTTCTTGAGCTTTTCTTCTTCTTCTTCTTCTTTTTTTTTTTTTTTTTTTTTTTTGGTAAAAAAATGGTTATATACCTGATTTTTAAGGCTCTACCACTTCGAGCCACAGTTCCACTTTTAGTTTTCTTCTGGTTAATTGGAGATAAAAATCTCACATACATGGCTGGGAAGGTGACTCAATGGTGAAGTGCTTGCCTCGCATGCATGAGGCCCTGAGTTGTATTCATTAGCACCACATAAATAGAAATAGCCAGAAGTGGCACTATGTCTCAAGTGATAAAGCGCTTAGCTTGAGCTGAAGAGCTGAGGGACAGCTCCCAGGCCCAGAGTTCAAGCCCTATGGCCGACCAAAAAAAATTCTTTTCTGCCCAGACTTGCTTCATACCTTGATCCTCAGATTTCAGCCTCCTGGCTAGCTAGGATTATAGATATGAGCCACTAGCTTGTAAATCTGTTTTAATAAAATGAATATTTGAAAAACACTACATGTTTGTTTTTTTCATCCAATTTCCTACATATACACAAAAACATTCTCAAGTGTATGCATACTTTTTTCTCTCTCTTTCTCTCTGTCTTTTCAATAGCAAGTAATAGTTTAAAATATCCTGTGAGAGATCTGCAGTAATGTTATAATTCTAGACATATTTTAGGAAGTTGACTCTATAAAGAATGTTTTATGTAACTTGAATTATAAATGACATCTCTGAAGTCTGAAAAGGAGACTTTTCAACCAACACAGCAAATGGGAACCTGAGTTGAAGGAGACTGAAAAGGACAAAAAAATTAAATGTTTTAAAAAAATGTAAGCAAGATTATCAGATTTTTAAATATATTTGGGAGCCAGAAATGGGAAGTTAGTGGTTAGAAAACCACCCAAGGAATAGTGGTGAGATGTTATATCAAATAATATGGAAATGATTATGCATGTGTAATCCAAGTAGTTTGGAGGTTCAATGCCTAAAATCAGAATGATCTAAATGCACAAGACATTATCTGGTAGAAAAAAAGGAACCCCCAGCAACATAAAAAGGAAAACAAAGGAGCCCCCAGTAATATAAAAAGAAAAATAAAGAGGAAAAAATTATTTAGTATACATGCCCTAGACAGGGCTATACGGATATAAAGAAAAATGAAAATATATCATTTCTACAAAAAATAGGAGTCAGAAATTACTCTGTTAAATGAAACAAGTCAGACGAGAAAGACACACTTAAAATTTCTATCACCTGGGAATTTAGACTGTTAGAAAACAATGACAAAATTGTGCAATGAGGATTGTTTGAATGCAGAAACCAATATTAGTGGCAAGGGTAAAATTTGATGGTGAAGAGGTTGATCAAAGTGTTTTAGATACATGTATGAAAATAGAAAAAAATGAAAGCCACTGGAATAGCTCCTAAAAAAGTGGAAGTGGAAGAAAATTTAATAGAGTAGGTACATTTGATCAACCTAGTTTATATGTATGAACTATCAAAACCATTTAAACAATGAATATAAGCCAATAAAAATAATAAGATACTACAATAAAAATTTAGTCCTCAAAAAGCATGTAGATGTCTTAATGTGACTGTGTCTCTACATGATATGTAGAAAATTTAACAAATAATGAACTAGACGATGCTCAACCTAAAGACAATCGCAGACTAAATGCTGTAGTTTAGAGGTGTTTGATCAGAATCTAGCCTGCATTATTGATTTGCAGATCTATTTATAAAATCATGCACATAAGTATAATAAATAAAGTTAAATATAAGGTTAAGTAATATGTATCTTTAAAATCAGTATGCTAATTCTAATACATGGACACTTTAGTTGGAAAAAGGGAACATATTTACATTGCAGATTTTACTCAGCTTTTAATGAATTCATTAGACTTTGTATCATGAAGGTCTAGTCTGTGAACCAAACACAGAGTAATGTTGCTGATTTATTTAAAGAAATTACAATTTCTCACTTCTTAGCATAAAACTGTATTTCTTTCCACAGAATAAAAGCTTGAAAAACAAACTCTTGTCTGGAAGTAAGCTGTGTGGAATTCATGCAGAAGAGGTGAGTAAAATTCACCTTTTCTTTCTTTTTTTTTAATCTTCAACATGATACAAATAGTGCTCATGGTAATGTTTTTTTCCCTTCCTTCCTTCCTTCCTTCCTTCCTTCCTTCCTTCCTTCCTTCCTTCCTTCCTTCCTTCCTTCCTTCCTCCCTCCCTCCCTCTCTCCCTCCCTCCCTCTCTCCCCCACTCTCATCATTTTCTCTCTGTAGTTCTCTCTCTTTTGATGCATAATGATGTTTGAACTCTGGGATCTCTAGGACCTCTGGGATTTATGCTTGCCTTGAAGATACTCTGTAGAGCTATGCCTCCAGCCTTTTGGGGACTAATTATTTTTGAGTTTAGATCAACCTAGATCTTGATCTTTCTTGTTCACACATCCCACCATAGCTTGGTTGACAGGCACATTCCACCATGCCCAACCTTTCCAATGGAGGATGGTCTCATGATCTTTTAACCCAGGATATCCTGAAACCATGATCCTTCTGATTTCAGCCTCCTGTGTTGCTAGCTTTAAAGTTAAGAGCCACTGATCCCAGCTCCAAATTTTGTTTAGAACCCAGATACAAAGTAACCATCCTTTTTCCTGAGCACAAATATAAAATTTTGAATAAGACAATAAAATCATTTCAAACTTTGGGATATTCTTGAATGTTTTAACATTGTATAGTAAAGAGAAAAGATTTAAAGTTCATAAAGCACTCATTTTATAAGATGATGTTCCACATTCCTAACATATCTATATTTATCAGGATTTCCTTAATAGTGAATACCTGGAAGCCCATTAAATTTTTCTGCTTTGTGTTCTACCTATGTGATGTGTAATTTTTTTTCCATTGATGAGTGACTCAACATGACTTTTCTAGATTGATCATCCTCTTCACAAGTAAACATATCTGTTGGATTTATTTGTTTTATAGGAAAACTATTTCAGTGTTTCTTCATAAAGAAAATTATTATTATTGTTAATATAGATTTAACTACAATAATCAATCTCCTGGATTGTACAACTCTGCATATGTCCATAATGCTATGTTAAATGTTGAAATACAATTAAGGAATTCTAAGTGATAATAATGAAATAGTAGTGATAATGTTATAAGTATTTATTTATTAGGTAATAAGAGGGAATAAGTGTCAGTGTGCTGTCAGAGAGTTCCAAGAAACTCACACAAATGATTAGAAGAACAATTTTTTTAAAGTCCTGTGAAAGATTGGGGGAAAGTAGGGAAATCTATTCATTCTGTCATCACTGTCAAGTCAGATTGGAGGAACTCATGGGTTGTTGGTCTTACTAAGGATAGAATTCAGGATAGAAGACACACAGGAATTTATAGTGGATCTGTTTTTACCTGATAAGCTGAAGTAGAGAAGCAGGTAAAATACACTCTTAAAAAAAAAACTGAGCATAGCTGGATAACCGATAGTCAAGAGCAATGAGTGTTTAGATAAGTTAAATATTATATTCTATGAGTGTTATGGGCTTCTTCATGAGGTCTTGTCTGACTTTTGTACAGACTTGCTCAGGATTTCTGTGGCAATGGACCACAAATTAATAAAAGAGGTAGAGATTTTAAGAACTAATAGAATGATAGAAAGGGTCTCAGAGGTGTTAAAAAGATGATAGGAGTGGAATCATATTACCTCATTCATCTGACCTCATCTGTCATTTTGGGGCGGCTGCTGCTCGGGCTCATCTTATTTCTTTGACTAACTGTGCCTCACTACCATGGTGAACACCTGATGTTTACAAAGGTAACAGAAAGACAGGAGGTTTGTTTATGAGAACAGTGGATAAATAATATTAAAAGTTTTTCCCCACTTTATAGTTGTCTAGGAGTGAAGTACAGAGATGTCTAAACAACTCTATTGTCTTCTTTTTTTATTAATAAGTTTTTTATTGTGAAAATACCGTACACATGGGTAACAATTACATGGGCAAGGTAATGATTACATTTCTTATCAAGCATTGTTGCCTCCTCCTTTGTTTTTTCCTTACCATCCCTGCCCTCCCATCTCCACGCCTACACTCCCCGCCCTGTGCCAAAGTTGTAAAGTTCGGTTTTCGACATAGCATCTTGTACATTTCGTTGTTGCAGTGGGTCCACCTGTATCCCTATTTACACAATTGGTTTTTTCCCTTCCCCTCCCCAAATTATACCAACATTAAATAGAGTGAAAACAGGGGTTACACCGAGGGAGAGAAGCATACAAAGCAACAAAAAAAAATCGCCTTATAAATATGTTAGAAACAATAGCAAGAAAGAAAAAAAAACACTTGAGTCCTTATCTTGGGGTTCATTTTTCCTAACATCAACTTATCTGACCTTTTCTGCTTGTCTCAGACATATACTAGTCATTTCAAATAAGGGAAACCATGAGACCTATGTTTCTTTTTCTATTGTCTTCTAAATGTGGATCCATACTTATCATTTCCCCCTAAGTACATTTCTTAATTGTTACCATCCTTCTTAAGGAGAGAAAGAGAACATTGTCTGGAAGAGAAAAAGCATTAATCTTTCAAATTCGAACTAGGAAATAGGCTCATCTATCTCCAGACCCAATGCACCGTATGTATCTAAACTAATCACATGCCAAATCAATTTTTTTGAGAGGTTAAAAACTTTTTTTAGTATGGTCTTAGTTGAGATCATTTGGGTACATGCCCAAAAGTGGGATGGCTGGGTCATAGGGGAGCTCTATGTGGAGTCTTTTGAGGAACCTCCATACTATTTTCCAAAGTGGTTGAAGTCTTTTGAGGAACCTCCATACTATTTTCCAAAGTGGTTGAACAAGTTTACATTCCCACCAACAATGCAGTAGGGTTCCCTTCTGGCTACATCCCCTCCAGCATCTGTTGTTATTAAAGATTTTGATTATAGCCATTATAACTAGGGTGAGGTGGTATCTCAAGTTGTTTTGATTTACATTTCTTTTATGGCTGGAGAGCATTTCTTCATTTGAGCATTTCTTCATATGTCTGTTGGCAATCTTTCTTTCCTCTTCAGAGAAGATTTTGTGTAAGTCTTTAGCCCATTTATTTATTGGGCAGTTGTTTCTTTGAGGATTTGTTGTTAGGGCATTTAATTTTTTGCGGTCCAGGTATATTTCAGATATGACTATATTTATTGCAGCATCATTTACCATAGCTAAGCTATGGAACCCACCCAGATGCCCCTCAGTAGATGAATGGGTCACGAAAATGTGGTATATATACACAATGGAATTCTATGCCTCCATCAGAAAGAATGACATTGCCCCATGTCTTAGGAAATGCAGACTTGGAAAAAATTATATTAAGTGCAATAAGCCAGGCTCAAAGGAACATAGGTCCCATGGTTTCTCTTATTTGCAATAATTAGTATATGTCTGAGGTAAGCAGAAACGGTCAGACAAGTTGATGTTAGGCAAAATAAACTCCAAGATAAGGACTCAATTTGTTTTTCTTTCTTGCTATTATTTCTAACATATTTATAAGATGATTTCTTTGTTGCTTTGTATGTTCCTTCCCCATGGTATAACCCCTGTTTTCACTGTGATGGATATTTGTATAACTTGTGGAGGGGAAAGGAAAAAACCAATTGTTTAAATAGGGATACAGGTGGACCCATTGCAACAATGAGATGTACAAGTCGTTATGTCGAAACACGAACTTGACAACTTTGGCGCTGGGGGCCAGGGAGAAGGGGAGAAGGGGGGAGGGGGATGGGATGGTAAGGGGAAACAAAGGAGGAGGTTACAATGCTTGATAAGAAATTACCTTGCCCATGTAATTGTAACCCCTCTGTATGGTACTTTCACAAAAAAAAAACAAAAAAACTTTTTGTAGAAAAAGTTATGTTACCTGCCCAAATAAGAGAAGACTTGCAAAAGGTAGCACACACATACACACTCACGCACACACACACACACACACACACACACACACACACACACACACACACAAATTATCACAAACACTACAATCCGTTTAGAATATGTAATATAATTCCTTCCATAAAGTCTTTCCAATAGTATTATATTCAAGATTAGTAGAAAATTTCAATATGTAGAAAGCCAATGCATGGTTTGTAGATATGGTCCAGTCTAGGATTTCATCTCATCTTGCTTTTCTCTTGATAGAAAAAGCTCCACACCCTGTTTATAGACATAGGGAAGATGTGATATGTGAAGGTTTTGAAGAGCATAATCAATGGAATGAGGTTATGAATAAGAAATATCTAGATTGAAGCTATATTTTAGGATAGCTAGTATATTGCTTGAGTCCCCACAAAACTTCTGCACATGAAAGAGAAAGAAGCTATTGAGAGAGAAATAAGTAGGGACTACAATTATATTTTAGGTTGTCAGTTAAAGGTGATTTATATTTTCCTGTGTCTCAATGCCTTGGAAAATATATTATCATTAATTCCTATTCATGAATTCTGTTTTTTTAATATTTGCTTTACTTAATATTTGAAAAATAATGAGTTAATTATGATTCCTTCATTTGTCCAACATTATAAATTACTTAAATTATCAATGAAGTATATTTAGAGCTTAATATTCTGGATAGTGTGTGAGGCACTTATTTTGTTACTTTAGAATTTTGAAAAGTTATGGTGAAAACTTAATTATTTGGTTCACCATCAACATCAAAAAAAAAAAGCAAAAATGTTTTCTGCTGATTAAGGAACAGAGAAGGATCTTGACAGTTTACTAATCTTCAGTTTTAATATTTATACATGAATAAACTGTGTTTAAATTTTCATGGTAGAACCTTAAAAAAGAGTAAATATTACAAACATTGACCAACATCAAAACTACTATTTCATTAAATGCAAATTCTTCTATTCTACAAAACTGTAGAATAGAATAATCTTGGATTTAAAGATACTCTTTTAAATGAAACTGACTAGCCTAGATAAAAATATTCTGTAATGATTGCCTGCTTCTTCATGAAATTAATATTTTTATAATTTTCACAATGATGTAAATTTGTGTGAGTTTGTGTGTGTATTGGTAGAGATTGAACCCTAGTCCTAAAGGTAGAATATTGGGCATGCCAAAATGACAGATACTTTATGTGTTTGGGTATAGAATAGAGGAAGAATAATTAGCCAATCACTTGAAATAATACCTTTATAAAGATACAAGTTATTGAATAGGCGTTAATTACTTTTCTCAATCTGCTTGGACATAGAACTCTGATACCTGAAGAGAGCTTAAAATTTTCTGTTTTATTTTCAAAATTGTAAGATTATATTTAGTTTCACTGAAAAAAATTCTGAACAGAAATGTAATAAATTTTAATATTCAAGATTGTAAAATTTAAATTAGTTTGAAGACTAATCCATGTCTCTGTTTTTACAGTCAAAAAAAATTCAAGCTCAGCTGAAAGAACTTCGGTATGGGAAGAAAGACCTGTTATTTAAGGTGAGCATCTTTGTCTCTTTTCCAAATTTCTAGCATAATATTTAAACAAGAATAAACAATTTTAGCTTAACATCAATTCTGAGAATCTTGATAATAATTATGAACTTTTTTTTGCCAGTCCTGGGGATTTTTTGTCAGTGTTTGGTATTGAACTGATGAGTGCTATACCTAAACCTCTTTATGCTCAAAGCTAGCACACTACCACTTGAGCCACAGACCCACTTCCTGCTTTTACAGAGTAGTTTATTGGAGATAAGAGTAGCACAGACTTTTCTACCTGGGCTAAATTCCAACCATGACCCTCAAATCTCAGCCTCCTGAGTAGCTAGGATTACAGGCTCATGAGCCACAATAATTAAGAACTTTAGCTGAACTGAAGATACTTCTGGTTTCTGGCTCAGCTAATGAAAGTGAATATAATTATGACTACATTGATATACTACTTCTAAAAGATAAATATTCTTCTATACTACTTCCAAAAGATATTCTTCTAAATATTTAAAGTAGTTATGCAACTCTAATTGCTTTAACTTGAAATTGAAGAACAATGTCTCTCAAAGATTTCTGTCTTTTTTATTGTAAAAATACTGTACAGAGGGGTTACAGTTACATGAGCGAGGTAATGAGTACATTTTTTATCCAGCATTGTTGCCTCCTGTTTTTCCCCTACCATTCCTTCCCTCTCCCCTCCACAACTAACACCACTTCCCTAGCCACCAAAGTTGTAAAGTTCATTTTCAACATAGTGTCTTGAATGTCTTGTACATCTCATTGTTACAATGGGTCAACTTGTATCCCTATTTAAGCATTTTGTTTTTTCCCTTCCCTTCTCCAAGCTAGAGAAGTGTATATACAAGATGCAGGGCACAGACATCAAATACAGTGAAAACAGGGGTTATATGGTGGGGAAGGAATATACAAAGAAACAAAAAAAATCATATGAGACATGATAAATATGTTAGAAACAATAGCAAGCAAGAAAAAATTGTGTCCCTATCTGGGAGTTCACTTCACTTGTGATAACATCATCTTATATGGTCATATGTACATAGTTTTTTACCTTTTCTACTTGTCCTACACATGTACTAGATATTGAAAATAAGGGAAACCATGGGACCTATGTTTCCTATGTTTCTTTGGGCCTGGCTTGCTTCACTTAATATAATTTTTTCCAAGTCTTTCCATTTCCTAACAAATGGGGTGATGTCATTCTTCCTGATGAAGGTATTGTGTGTATATGTGTGTGTCAGTCGTGGTGCTTCAACTCTGGGCCTCGGTGCAATACCTGCACTCTTCAGCTCAAGGCTAGCCCTCTACCAGTTGAGCCACAGCACCACTTCCAGTTTTCTGGTGATTAATTGGAGATAAGAGTCTCATGGACTTTCCTGCCCAGGCTGGCTTCGAAACATGATCCTCAGATCTCAGCCTCTTGAGTAGCTCGGATTACAGGCGTGAACAACTGGTGCCTGCCTCCCTTAAAGATTGTATAAAGTAGAACATGTATTTAGGAATATTCCAGACGTATTGTTTACTAGTGAACTATAGTCAAGAAGATTCTGAAAGATTTCTCTTAATTATAAGAGTCACTGTATTTAATAATGACTGATTGCTTTGGGCTATTTATGCTGTTTTAAGCCTGTGAGGTTAAAGCCTATAAATAAATAGAAAGATGAGATAACATCTGAATATAGTGAACTGAATTATGGTCTTCCAAAGATACTCAATTCTTAATTTCTAGAATTTATCAATCATAAGATTATTCAGGGATAAGTCCATTAAAGAGCTTGAGATTGTAAAAGTAAATTTATCATCACAGTCATCACTAATTTATCTACAATCCCTTTCAATATGGAATTGTAAATAAATTTAGGCATTGAATGAGCTCAAAGAACATTGTATACATGTATGAAGACAGAATATTAGAGGCATTAAAAAGCCATAATTACATTTTTAAATAAAATTAAGCAAAAAGACTACCTAATGAACACATATGTAGCAAATTATTAAAAGAAAATGTAAGACTGAAGAATTCTCATTTTGAAAACAGTACTTATTTCCCCATCAAAAGAAACAAACACAGATAAATTTTTCCCTTTCTTGCTCAGGCCAGATACTAACCAGGTTTTTAGACTTTTTTGTTATATAATTTGCTTGTGAAATGTGTACAATGAGCCCTGTCATTTTAACAAACAGGAATAATACTTTTTATTAACATAAATGTAAATTACTTTATATGTTCTGCTTAATTTCTAGTATCTTCATTACAAGTATCATCTCAAACTAGAGAAATGAGATTTTAATTGAAGGGGAATAACTCTGCCTTACTCAATGTGGAGTAGTATGGCAACTTCTCTTATGAGAACAATAAGAAATATTTCAACTCCACAGTACCTTAACATTTGGCTTTAGAGTTGCCAATATTTACTACTCACTGACTCTATGTAATCAGTGTATGCAGGCATATTTTGCCATTTGCTTGTCCATAAATATACTTCCTGCCTTTCCATTGGCTTTATTTACCAGTTGAACCATAATCCTTCCTGCCAACCGTCATCTCCCAGCATACCTACTCATTTTATGTGACAAACAGAATCAAAGAATGAAACCCAAGTCTTTGGCTATCTTAAACCTTTCACATTAAGAGTATAGACCTCATTTCCATTAATTTGGTTTGTCCTTAGTTCTTTGAGTCAAGTAGACTTGAATTTACTGACAGAAATAATATGTGTGTGTGTATGTGTGTGTGCATGTGTGTGTGTGTGCACACATGGTTTGTGCTCAAATCCTTAGCCCTCAGTGAAGTCATTTATGTTAATAAGGTTAGGGGTGTTTTTAAGCAGTTAAAATTTCTTGAATTAAAATTGTTTAAAATTGTTAGAACTTTTAAAAATGTGCTGCAGAGGAGCACACACATACAAAGTTAGGAAGTATGTGTATGAGTAGGGCATGAAGTTGTGTGTTGGGTGCCAACATACACTGTACTTTATCCTCCTAATCCTCCTGTACAATATTAAATTTTATTAACTAAAGAATCTTGTCATGCTACAGCCATGACAATTTTATCAATTGTTGACTACTACTAGAATGACAGGCTTTAGATTTGATTTTTAGTCTTCTCTCACTTAATCATGTTAATTATTATATCTCACAATCCCCATCTTGTTGATGGGTATTTTATTTCTTTCTTGTTCCATGATAATTGCTAATGATGTACATGTGCTATCTACCACCAACTGTGTTTAAATCAAAGAAGAAAACAACAGGCTTCTCCTACAAGGTCATTATGGTCAAAATGGGAAGAATGTTTCTAAGAGATCTTCTCTTGTGAGCTTGTGCATCCCTGCAAAAGTACACATTCAACATCTTCTAGTCCAACTTGGGAAGGTGATTTCTGTCATAGGTAAAGTAAAAGGAAGGAATTGATTTAAAGCCTGGTAATAGCTTATGTTATAATGTTATTCAACCTTAATGGCAAAAAAATAGCCATTTTGTTCATAGCCATTCTGTATTCAGTTATTAGTTTCTTTTGTTTTGGATAATATGTATTAAAAATAAATGAATGTGGACTGGGAATGTTGCTTAGTGGTAGAATGGCCTAGCATCATGAAGTCCTGGGTTCAATTCTTCAGTAGCATATAACAGGGAAGTGTTTCTGTGACTCAAATGGGAGAGTGGTAGCCGTTAGCAAAGGAAGCTCAGGGGCAGATCCTGAGTTCAAGCCCCAGGACACCAAAAAGAAAAAAAAAGACGATAAGTAAGTAAATCACGGAAGCAAGTTGTAGAAATTCTTCTAGATTACAGTGAAGAGAATTGCTATTGGAATTGACCCATGTACTTTTCCAAATAAAGCAACAAATATTTGCTGAAGTGAGGGGTGGATAATTCTATTGCAAATAAATATCATCTTAAGATCTGAATCTGTGCAGTTTTGAATAAACTTGATCATTTTTGCTAAACATAGACATTGGAGGCAAAGCAATTTCTGCTGATGCATTTAAATTGTCTCCTCAAAATAATGGCTTTGCTGACAATTGCAAGCCATGATGATAAATCCCATACCCTTATTAATGCTTGAGAACTGGCTTTTGCAGACAGAAGGCTGCCAGCAGCAGTAAACACTGTCCATGGAAGAATGGGATTTGGCTTTACTGACTGTTAGTTGCCCAGGACACAATTGAATTTAAATCCTTTGTGATTCCATGTGCAGCAGATCTACTCTTCATTTTGCTACTCTATTTATGTTTCCAAGAATATGTTATTCATTGTAGAAAATTTCTAAAACTGCCAAAATGTATGAACATAAAGTATTTAAAATCAGGCCAGACATAAACAATGTTTTGGCATATTTCTGATTTTTATTTTGTTATTTTGTATAGGATAAAATCTGTTATATGAGATTTACATAGGTACATACATATTTTTTGGGGGGGGGATCCAGTCATGGGGTCTGAACTCTGGGCCTGGGCCTGGGCGCTGTCCCTCAGTTCTTCAGCTCAAGGCTAGCGCTCTACCAGTTGAGCCACAGTGCCACTTTTGGCTTTTTTCTTTTTGCTTATGTGGTGCTGAGGAATCGAACCCACAGCCTCATGCATGCAAAGCAAGCGCTCTACCACTGAGCCACCTTCCCAGCCCCGGTACATACATTTTAAAATAATTTTGATAAAAAGATAATTTCAGGTTAATTTTTCTATAAAATTAAATAGAGTATCTTCTGTGAAATGGTATGATAATGATTTAAGCTTTCCCTAAATGTGTGTTAATGTGGGTTTGTGCAAATACATACATGGTGTTATGATTTCAAGGTACAATATGATTTAAAATTATTTCTTATTATCAAGCCTCTAATTAGTTTTTATCAACTACCAGTAGTTCACTAGAATTTTTGAAATTATTAATTGCATTAGTGGCTAGCACTGATTATTATAACTCTAAGAGTTACATTGTCATAAATTTCAACATTAGACCAGTTTGTTGAATCAAGACATTTTTGCACTCTAAAG